TACACTCCTGAAACCAAAGAACAGTCTAAACAGTGGATTGGACCAGGGGAACCAACTCCAAAGAAGGCAAAAACAATTTTTTCGGCGAACAAGGTTATGGCTACTGTTTTTTGGGATGCAAGAGGTATTATATACATTGATTACCTTGCAAAGGGTAATACTATCACTGGTCAATACTACGCAGACTTATTGCAACGTTTGAGCCACGAGGTGAAAATTAAACGACCTCATCTGGCGAAGAAAAAAATCTTGTTTCATCACGATAACGCACCAGCGCACACGTCAATCGTTGCGACGGCTAAAATCAACGATCTAAAGTTTGAATTGATGCCGCACCCTCCTTACTCTCCAGACCTAGCCCCGAGTGACTATTTTCTGTTCCCTAATCTCAAAAAATGGCTTGGCGGTAAGAGATTTGCGGACAATGAAGAAGTAATCGAAGCTGTAAATGGTTATTTTGAGGAGCTTGACGAATCAGTCTATAGAGATGGCATTAATAGACTGGAACACCGCTATGAGAAATGTATCAGCCTTGGAGGAGATTATGTTGAGAAATAAAAAAAAAAAATTTTTAAAAACCTTGTTTTTCTTGGTCAGGCCGGAAACTTATCAATCCACCCTCGTATACTATTAACTTTCCTCCCTTATTTTTCTATTCGGTTTGAAATTAAAGTCACAAGTTGGTTAAAGGTTATTTATTTATTTAAAAACAACATTCAAAGTTATTGGGCTTTCTCAAAAGCCATTGATTATTATAGGAATCGAAATTAAATCGAAGACAATATTTTTATGATTTGGACATTGGAAAAAAAATATGGACGAGGGCTCATATGGACACTGCTTCTTTGAAGACTGTCCTAAGCTGGCAGAACTCTCAAAATGTTTGAACAATGCGTAACACCCTCATCATAATCATTATAAAGCTATCTCGAATTCCTCCTTGATAGATGCTAATACTACTATATCATCTGCAAATCTAAGCATCTATATTTATCCCTACAGTTGTACTGTCTTTAATGATATTGATCGCGTCTTCGATGTATAGATTAAAAAGTAGTGGTGACAGTGTGCATCCCTGCCTGACTCCCTTCGTAATATTTACTTCTCTACGTTGCAGCTCCAGCTCTATAACTGCCTGTTGCTCTTTATACAAATTAAGTATCACTCTTCTATCTCTGTAACTCATCCCTACGTTTTAAATATATTTAACATCTTGTCCCATTTAACATTGCCAAAAGCTTTTTCTAAATCAACAAATCGTATGTACCTGCTCTTTCCTTTTTCTATCGCTTACTCTATTGTTACTCGTAAAGCGAGAATTACTTCCAGCATTCCTCTATTTCTTCTAAAACGAAATTGATCTTCATCCTAATAGTTTTTCCACCTTTTTTCCATTCTTCTCTGTACCATTCTAGTTAAGATTTTTGACGCATGGAAAGTTAAGCTTATTGTTCTAACTGTCTCGCACCTCTCTTTTTAGGTATGGTTACCATCACGTTCCGTTTATAATCCTCTGGGACTTTCCCCATCTCGTAAATGTGACTAACTTAGCTTAACCATACGATATCTAACCTATTGTCATACATGTTTTAAAATTTTAACACCCTCCCATACTTTAAATTGTATTTATTGAACTTATATTACTTTATTATATATACGTGTGAAAAGAGGGCTGAACATATTTCTACAAATTTTCTTAAATCACGTTTTTTTTTCAAGACTGCAAATTCGGCTGGTTTAATGGGTTATTGTTAGTTGTAGTGGTAAATTCTGTGTAATGTATGGTATACAAATTAAGAATAAATGAAAAGGGGGCCCCATGGCATCACCGACGGTACTTTGATGAGGTTGTTTGCCCTATTTCGTCTCGCCTTGGGCACGTTTACTATAAACGGCAATTATGATTCACCTGGCAGTGCAAATACATTAATATTAAATAAAAGGAATATAGCCACAAGTATAAATACAAAATTATGTGCGGCATTACTAGACCTGATGACCTTCGGTGTACTAACTTTTTATTTAGAGTATAATTTTTTGCTTTCATGACATTGAACGGGCAGCATAGCAGTCGCTTAAAATGATCGAGTTACCTACTAGGTAACTACTAAAAGGTCCTCAATATCTCACCAACTAAGAATAGAAATTAACAAGATTTAAGTAATAGAATTGTTCAAAACTAACAATTGCGAAGTTAAAAAGGAAATCTGATCGTTTCCTCTGTTTGTTGTACGTGGATGGTTTCCTTCAGTCGTTGTTACCAACTTCCGGTACTAATTAACAGACTTATTGCTAGTATTAAGAAAGAATCAACAGTTCTTAAGGACGTTTGTGGTATTTAAATATTTCCGTACCCAGGACTTCGTAGCTTCAAGTTTGAAAGAAAATAAAATCAAACATGAAAGTTTTTAAGAATTGATGAAATGTTTTCATTAGGTAAATATTCTCGGAAAATAATCTTGTGGAATAATAAATGTAGCAAACCAAAATCGATTACATCAATTGCCGATACTTAACTTAAATATATTTCTTCATATAATCAAGTATTCTATTAGTTACAATGAATCCGTTCAAATTAGTTGTAATTAGATAATTAAATTGAATTTTTAGAATATTTTACGTTGCTGCGCATAAAATATCAATGTACTTGACAATCAGTATAAGAGATCTGATAAAAAATTATCGCGAATTTTGAATTTCCGCAGCTTACGTATATTCGATTTTCGATTTTTTAGTGGCGTTGTGTTAGTACTCATCTCTCACTTATTTTTTGAACAGACCTTGTAAGTACGTATAAAGACATGGATAAAAACACTTAACTTATTAATTGGTAAAGGTTTTCGCGACCAATATTCGGGTTTCAAAGTTTCGCTAGCACGAGTGGCTAACTTCGTCAGAGGCCCTTACATCTCTTATGCTGCTGGTTGTGACATCCTCTGAAGAAGTTCGTTCTAGCGAAACGTTAGGAAGCAACTCCAACCGACGACGGTCTTCAGACCCGAATCAGGCTAATTACTTTATGTGTTCCAAGTTCTATAATTTTACAGTGAAGGAGTTCATTGAAACAACTGTGTATCTACATAAATATTTATATAGAAAAACTAATCGATATAACTCTTCAGGATACATTAAAATGTTTGCTCTACTTAACAGTAACACTATAAATGTAATAACATTAGTATAAACTACTTTATGTAATGGACACATAATGTACATAGAAACGTACTTGTCATTAATTTTGAAATTACTATTTTCTCTTCATGTCTAATTTAGTAATAAAATCTTCCTTTTGAAAATCAATGTTTATTTTTAGTCAATGAGGGCTTTGTTTACTTTTACACAATTAAAGTTTTTGAAGACTATTATGTTTGTAATATTTCGCCTTGAAGCAATAATCTTCAGCCTTCACTTTATTTAATAACAGCCAAACATTTCGTACTCCAGCCGTGAACTTTAGACTGTTTCATTCTCCTTAATGTTTTGGTTTGTTTGCTTATAAGGTTGCCTTCAAGATGATATAGCAAGAACATTCTTACTGACCTTAGATAAGGGTCGAGAAAATAGAATGAGCCCCTTTTGACATTAGGTTCAGTGTATTCTGCCAATAAAATACATACAGTAAACTAAACGTATGGATCTACTACTACTACTACTACTAATTTCTTATTGTAAAGATTTATTCAAAAAAGATTATCAAAAGTGTATGTTTGGAACATGGCTTTGAAGTTAATAAAAAGTAGATGAAATACGTTGGCAGCCTCCTGATACTTGAAGGGCAGAAGTTCGAAATGAAGATCTTATGATGATGATGATGACATGACGAGAGATTGATTCAAGTTTCTTTATGTTAATGGTCATTATCTTGGGTAGTTTGGCAAACTCTTTAACCCAAAGAAAATTTAGTTGTGCAATTTCGACTCCATTTTAACCAAAATATCTTCCGGCAGATGAAGATGATGTAAAACGTGATTTTAATGAATAATGACCTCGTATTGTGTTGTCGACCTGGTTAAGGCATATTGTTCTATCTATCAGAATTGATTGATGTACCTATTGATACGTAGTTTAATTACAAATAGTTTTCGTGTGATGAGCGAAAAAACTTGACAATGAGACAATGTGCACGTTTCTTTATACTTCTTGATTCTCTAGTTTACAATTCCAAGAAGTTAACATCGAATTTAGTTTTGTTTAAGATAATCTACTGGAAGTCAACAAGAAATAGGCGAGATTGGTCAGGCATGAAGGGCCAGCTATAGACATATTACAAGTAGAAAGACGTAGATCTAAATTAGATTACTGTTCACAAATGTGTGACGTTCTAGTTTTAGGGAAACGCAATGATTAGTTCATGTTAGGAAAGAGTGGAGGTGCATGTTCAACCAATGATAGAAAGATAATCTGGAGATTTAGGTTTCTTAAATAATTATTGCAAGTAGTATCTACATGTTGTTTTCAGGTAATTCTGAAGGATGGAAACAATGAGTGCACATATTAGTAGTAACTATAGAACATAGATAAAGATCATGAGGACATTGTGGTACATCAGAAGACAGTGCCCAAAAGGTTCTAGCCTGTTGGTACTATTTTTCTTCATCTGATGATTAGGTTAGGTTGCGATTGCGAAGGTGGTTCACTGGATCAAATTTCAGATTAGGGGAACCTTCTCGACCATAACGTAACCTTCAAAGGTGAAAAGTTAAATTGTTAGGATAGTGGATTAGAATCCTTTTAGCTTTTATCATTCCTATGACTTTCCAAATGTGTTTTTGAACTTTCGTTTGAACAGCACTAGTAGGTGTTGACCTGAGAATACTCGACCAATCCTCGTATTTGCGTCACCTTCGTCTAAAGGCTGCCTTTTTGTTATTAAATCTACGTCGGTAATAGAATAAAAGTAATAATCGTCGTGCCCATGGCTTCCCCGGAAGTGGGACAAAGTTGTCGTAGTGCATCTCGCCATGAGACTTTTAAATCGATTCCAAATGGGATTGTTTCCAGTCGGCTCGCAGCTCGCGGCTAGCTGCAAGCAAGTAGGTGTATCAACTTTATAGCGGTTATTATCGTACTTTAAAACACGAACTGTGGACGGTTTTAGTTCATATACGATACAGTATAAGTATAATACGTACGTTTGTATTGTCTCGCCTTGACTTAACTACATCGGTCGTTTTACTTACTTTACACATGTGAGCACCTAAAGGTGTATGTAATGTAGTAAGAAGGTGCTTTTAAATAATGCATCGTCGCTTCGAAGACGACATGTTGAGTACTGTGTTGTAGTAGTAACTTGGGCATTGTTCCACGACGACGAAGTCCGTCTGATGAAACTCCAACACCACACCTACAAGATAATACTCGCTGATTGTCAGTCGTACACCTATGTTAATGACCGATTCTGCAAATAATAAAGTGGTGGAGTCTACTGTATTATTGTGATCGACAGTTTAAAGCAAAACAAAGACCTTATTGTGACTGACTGTTTCTCTATTAGAGTTGTTACTGTTGGGAAGTGAAGAGTCATTATTGCAGTATTTTATAGAGTAAAAGTTCTTCGGCAAAAGCAAAAGTGATTCGAACGCTGAATACGTCGAGTGAGACTGATGATGAGAATGTTGCCCGCAAGTTCTCATGAGTTCATGGATGCTTGCTGTACTTTCGGTCTTCGGGAATTGGTTATTGTGCTTTGATAACTAGAGTAGTGTATCAAGGCGACTGACTATATTATTATGCAGACATAGGTGGTTTGATGGTGCCGTTATTTTAATAAGAATAAGAATTCATTGTAATAGTTTGGATCCAGGTGTTCATCATGGTAGCCGGCAGCATGTATTTACTTCAGGTAAGGCAAGGGTTTAGAAAAAATTGAAATATTCTAGGAAAATTATACCATTCAACCCTTTGGGAAATGTCTAGGTTTTACCTATATTCGGTTTTAATTATTTTTTCCCATGGACATTCATTATTTCGACGAAGAGATGTTAAAGACATGCGAAATGAATAAAATTTTCTTAAGTTCATGTAATATTAATCAAAAATCCGATACTGGGTCAATTCAAATGGGAAATGGTTTGTATTTTGATTTTTATAGTCGCTAAAATTTTTTATTTAAACGTTTTAATACATCCGACTTTAATCAGTAGTGGATTATCAAAAATATCACTAATGGAATATCGAAAATGAGCTCTATTTTGCTGCGAATTTGTTATGAATAGTAAATTTGACTTGGAGCCAAATGCTGACTCAATCTGTTTTTATTTCCCAATAATAATTCCTACTTTTTTCTAATCTGTGCTTATACATACCTATATCAATTTCATCGATCTACTTTTTACACTCAAAAATACCAAAGATGAGTCAATATTAAAATAGCTTTTTAAATGCATATCCATATTAATTTCGTTATTAATAAATGTCGTTAGTAAATAATACTTGAAAAGTAAATTAAATATTGCGTTTTTGTTAATTCATTTTAAATATTCTTCTTTTTATTGATGCGTTAACGTATTTATGTAAATATACTGTATTATACAAACTACATATATAATTAATTGATTAAGTATTGGATTTTAATGTGTTGACCTTGCATAGAAAGTAGACCCTTTAATATAACAGATAAAAGACTACTTTCGCAAATTGAATACTTTTGTTGTGAGTAATCTTTCCATAGAAGTAGGTCGGCATCTTAACCTTTACCAATAAAAAAAGTAAGATAATAAATGTAAACTCAATCGATAACTCGTACGATAAATTGACTAAACTGATACGTAAAGTTTATTAACCCATCACGGACATACTCTATTTATTATTATTTTTAAAGTATTATTGAACTTTTTCTCATTTTAAGGACTTTTCAAATATTTAATGAATAATTGACAGATTTTGAGCTTGATTGGGTATTTAAATGGTCTGCTAATTCCAAAAAGCCCTATCATTCATTACAAATACATATAGTTATAATACGTAAGCTAGAACCATACATGTTAACACATTATAGATTATTACTTAAGATATAATAGATAATTACCTGATGAAGAAACTCACTGATACCACAGGATGCGAGTCCTTTTTATAATTCAAAGTTTTAGAATTATTTCGTTAGAATTTTCAAGGACCTTTATCAACACATATGTAAAATTTTACATTTAATATCTCCCCCTTTTGATGGTTACCATTTCACCAGTATTGCTTTTGGTAGATAAACCTTCATATACCTATCTTGATATAGGTATTACACTACTTTTATTGTTGGTAGGCATAAATTTTAGTTGGTTTAGCCTACAGACTATAGACTGTAAAGATTTATTCAAAAAAATTTAGCCTACAGACTATAAATTTGTCCACGCACATATAAAACGAATGCACTCACGTATGGGTGCAAAAACCTTTACCAGTTAAAAATAGCTAGGCGTGAATACTAATAAGAAAGGTAGAACAATAGATACAGATGTTTGAAGTGTTTGTATACAAGTAGTAGGTACTTATATGACATTAACATACCACCTAGCACCATTCGATCTGACATAAGTAGTAATATCTCTCGCAGCTTTTACTTCCCTTTTTTCACGCTTTTACCATCCTGAGGTGTCTGAATCCTTAAATATCGAAAATCAGCATCAGCGGCTTCTTGTAGTTTTTCGTCTCCTCTGTCCAATTTTAATTAAATAATTAACCAATAAAACACACTGTTTTTATTTAGCAAGTATATATCAACACTCAAAAGCTAAATCAATTTCGTTAATTTCTAATCCTATTTTATATCCTTTAGATACCTTTCTTGTTTTATTTTTGTTAATTTCATTTCATGATGTTCTTCTAATCAATACCACTTCCGAATTGTCAACTCCTCCTTGCTAAGAAGGTAATAGGCATTACTATATCACCTGGAAAACTGTCTCTGAAAGTCTTTTCCTAATGCTATCCTATCTTTATTATTGTTAAGCGCATTTTCGACATGCAAATTAAAAAGTTGTGGTGACTACAACAATAACTTCTTTGCGATATTGCTCAAATTTTATAACAGCCTGTCGTACCTTAAATAAATTAATGTTAATTCTAGATATATTACTGTTCTATCGCTAAATCTTATCCCTAAATCCATATACCGCGTTCCTCTATTCTAAACCTCAGTTGATCATCCCCTAAAATTTTTTCCGCCTTTGTTTCTATCCTTCTCTGTATGATTTTAGTTAAGCGTTTTGACGCATGAGAATATTTCTAAGTAATATACTGTATGAGTTTAAAGATATCAGCTTTTCTTGTGAAATGTGATACATATTGTAACAATAATTTAGATAAAGAAAAGATTTCTGGGTGTATAATAGTATAGGAATTGTTTTGTGTTTTATTTTATTATAGATACTCTTTTTCTTTGCTATTAGTCATTTATGAATTCTGCTTATTCGTTTCGTTACAAAAATAATATTCATTGTGCATACACAATTATATTTCATTGCAGTTATGTACTATATATATATATATATGTATAATCTACATTTTAAAATGGTACTGTTTTAATTGCAAATGAGAAAGAAATTAACTTATATTTACTTAATGTAATATATTTCACCTTTCTTTCATCTAATAAGTGGAAAAGCATTCGTCACAATTGAATTAAACAGACACAAATTGCTTCCACTATTTCCAATTAATTGAATTAACGTTTCAGTTCATTAATGTACTTTGCTTAATTAAATTATACAGAATTCAATCTTAATTATTGAGAACGGGATCTATAACTGTCGAAAATTTTATTGGTTCTTTATATAAAGTAGCGTCAGATACAATTAGGTCGGTAATTGTTATGAATTTAAGAAAATTTTGTTTGTTCTTTATGTAAAGTACCGTTAGACGTATCAGTACGT